GCATGCGGCTGCCCCCCATTTTCTGTGGCCGTTTGCGGTTCGGTACGCGGCGCATCAGATCAACCTTCAGCCCAGGGTCTCCATGCCGGAGACCTCCCCAGCTTTGCTGTGGACGGGGAAGGTTGGCGATGCGTCTGCATTCCGTGTCTGGGGATCTCGGGCGTTTGTCCGCGACTTGTCTGCGGACAAGCTGTCCCCTCGTGCTGCTCCTTGCGTCTTCCTGGGTTTCCCCCCTGACGCCCCAGGGTGGCAGTTCTACCACCCCACCTCTCGCCGTGTTCTGTCCTCCCAGGACGTCACGTTCGACGAGTCGGTCCCCTACTACCGCCTCTTCCCCTACCGCACTCCGTCCCTCCCCCCGCCACCGCTCTTCCTTGTACCAGGTCCCCCCCCGGTAGACCCCCTCCCCCCTCAGGGTCCTGCCCCTTCAGGTGTGTCCCAGGTAGACGCTGTTGAGCCTGTCGAGGTCGCTGGTGACTCTGGTGCTGCTGAGGGTGCTGAGCCTGGGGGTGCTGACTCTGGGGGTGCTGAGCGTGTGGGTGCTACGCCTGGGGGTGCTGAGTCTGGGGGTGCTGAGTCCGGGGGTACTACGACTGGGGGTGCTGAGCCTGGGGGTACTACGCCTGGAGGTGCTGAGCCTGGGGGTGCTGCGTCTGGGGGTGCTGAGCCTGGGGGTACTACGCCTGGAGGTGCTGAGCCTGGGGGTGCTACGCCTGGTGGTGCTGTGCCTGGCGGTTCTCCGGGTGCTCCTTCTCGCCGGGAGCCACTCTCTCCCCAGGAGCTGCGTGAGTGGTTTGCCCGGCGCTGGAGGCGAGCTGCTGGAGCTGGAGGTGCTGCGGGTACTGGAGGTTCTGTTGCTGCTGAGGGAGCTGGTGCCACGGGTCCCGGAGGTGCTCGTACTGGGAGTACTGGAGCTGCTGGACCTGCGGGTACTTCTGGAGCTGGAGTTGCTGCGGGTGTTGGCGCGGAGGCTACTGCTGTCGGTCCTGGAGGCGGTCCTGCTGGGGGTACTACTGGTGCTGCTGGGGGTTCTGGAGCTGGAGCTGCTACGGGTGCTGGTGCTGTCCCTCCTGTGTCTGGAGTCGCCGCGCGGCCTCGGCCGTACTTCGTTCCGCTCCTTCAGCAGGTTCTTGGTCTCCCGCCTTCCACTGGTCCTCCTCCTCCCTTAGAGTGTCCACAGCCTGTCCCGTCGCAGTTACAGTTACAGCCGGCCTCCCCACTGCCTGCTCCGTCTCCCTACACTGGTCCTACTGGAGGTCTTGCTGAGCGTCGTGAGCCTGCGTCTCGCCCTGCGTCGCCTGTCCGTGCTGCTCGCACTAGTGGTCGCGGTTCGCGTCAGCGTCCTCCTCCTGTCCCTGGCACGCACCGGATGTCTCTGCGTCCGTCCACTGCTCCTCTGCGTGCCCCTTTGCCTTCTCCTCCTGAGTCTTCTCTTCCTACTCTTGCCGACCCGGAGTCGGACTCTCTTCGCGCTGCCAGTCCTACTGTCACGCGTCTCCTTGCTACGGTTGTCACTGACCCTTCCTTTGAGTCCACTGCTGCGTCTGCTCTAGTTGCTGAGCTCGTCGACTTTGCTGCTCGCTGTCGCCTAGACTACGTCGCCAGTCTTGTTGCTGAGTCTGAGTCTGTCTGTCCTCCGTCCGTCGGGGGTGAGTGTGCCCTTGGCACGGACGTCCTTGAGGACAGGCAGGAGGAGTTCCAGTGCTTGGCCGCTGCTTCACCTCATCTCGTGTCCGTACTGCTTACCCCTGAGGGAGACCCGGATGCACTTGACATCCCGACTCCGCGCTCTTACGCGGAGGCGATAGAGGGTCCCTACTCCTCTCAGTGGCAGGCAGCTATGGACGCAGAGATGGCTTCCTGGAAGTCCACAGGCACCTACGTTGACGCTGTTCCCCCTCCTGGGGCGAACATCGTCAGTGGCATGTGGATTTTCAGGGTGAAGCGACCGCCGGGTTCTCCGCCTGTCTTCAAGGCGCGTTACGTGGCTCGTGGCTTCAGTCAGCGGCAGGGAGTTGACTACTTCCAGACCTTCTCTCCCACCCCGAAGATGACCACTCTTCGGGTACTGCTGCACGTAGCTGCTCACCGTGACTACGAGCTACACTCTCTTGACTTCAGCACTGCTTTCTTGCAGGGCAGCCTGCACGAGGAGATCTGGCTGCGTCGCCCACCTGGCTTCACTGGGTCTTTTCCTCCTGGCACCCAGTGGAGCCTCGTTCTCCTCCAGTGCTGTACGTAGACAACAAGGCCATGCTGGCCTTGTGTCGGGAGCAGCGACTGGAGCACAGAACGAAGCACATTGCTCTCCGCTACTTTCTTGCTCGTGAGCTGCAGCAGCGTGGTCAGCTGCGTCTTGCGTACGTGGCCTCTGAGGCCAACACTGCTGATATCTTCACCAAGGCGCTTGCGCCTTGTGACCATCAGCGCTTCTGTACTCAGCTGGGCCTTGTGCCTACCTTGCCTCACTTGCTCACCTCTTGACCTTGCTTGTACTGTTACATATATATATACCTGCTCTTGCTTGTCTAGCCTTTTTATATATATGTACTCCTGCATGTGAACTGGCCTTGTGGCCTTGAACTTGTGCTCGGAATGTGTGGTGACTTTGTGATCCACCCTGAGCTTGCTTTGCTTTGCTTTGCTTGACTGGTCTTGTGACCCCTTGTTCTCCCCCACTTTGCCTATGGGGGTGTGTCAGAACATTATAGCTCATGCATATTGTGTAGGCTATAGTGGGGTAGTCCATAAGGGGTACAACCCAATTAGGGCTAGTACTTGTACCCAATTCATTCATAGTTCATTCATCCCTTGTTTCTTCTCACGACGAACCCCTGACGACCTCCGAGTGGCAAACTGGGGCGAGCTGGCAGTCCTCCGGGACCCTGGACCCCTCGGGATTGTCGACAATCCGACGACCTCGGGTTTCGCTGAGAGAAACCCGAGAAGGATATCTCAGCGGACAAAAAACCACAGCTCGACACGTCGAGCGTCGAGCCGCAATTTCTGCCACGTGGCCTGGTAGGGACGATCGCGATCGAACCTCTAAATCGAGAGGTGCCACGACGGCAGCGACGTGGCCACGCGTCGCACCACTTGTCAAATTTCGTTGCGCGGGAAAACGGCGCGCCGAGGGAAATTGTCACCAACGTCCACGCGGCGAAAAACGACTTGCTAGGGCACGTACAGGTGTCGACCACCTAGAGAGCCAGAGATCGCGGGAAAGAGGACCCGCCGCGTTTAGGAATGTCGGTGTCGCCCGAAGATCCAACCGCAGCAGCACGACCCACGCGGCGTAATCTGATCGGACCCTAACATGTCTAGGTGAAGGGAATCCAAGACCCAGGGAATGTCGGCGTCGATCAACCGGATGCCACGCGGGTATGCACATGTCGATAACGTTTGCGCGGGAAAGCAGGCCGCTACGGCATTTCTGGAGAGTTGAACTAGTGATTGGCCAATAGCACGTGGCGCACGTGAATTCCACCGTGGCAAGGCACAGGCGGGGGGGTCATTGAGTGCAGAGCGGCGTGACACTAGCCATGCATCGATCGTGGCACGTCATACACATGCACAGCGGCGCTTGCAAAGAGGGCTGCGTGGAGCGCGGCAGGTGCGCAGTCACTCGCAACCATACCCCTCCTTGACCATGCGCAATGCTCTCATTCTGCCTGTCAGCTTCGTGTTCCTCTCATGCTGCTGTGCGCCATCTGGCACTTAGATTTTCTTCCGACCCTCGCTATCTCTGCGTGTGTAGGTTACTCGAGCGCCGACATGACGGTCTCATCGGCACACTTCGCGTCGACCTGGCATAGACGAACTAGGTCGGTGTTGAGGTCGACCACTGGTCGTCGACTTCGCCTTAGGAGGATCTAGGACAGCATCTCGTATAGTCGGAGGGGTTCGAATAGATCACGACGGTCCGACACAACCTTACTGAGTCGGCGACGCATGGCCAGATCCTGTAGACGCCGACAACCCAACAGCCGCAACCCATCCCACCCCCTGCCGATTCTGTAGACGCCGACATCAAAGCGCAGCTGGAACGACTCGAGGTCGCCGCTGAGTTAGAAGCACTTGAGAGGGAATTCGAGGAAGACGACCGCGCGACGCTTAGGGCGTACACCGCCCCCATGACTCAATACCGTCTCTGGTGGTCCAACCTTTACCTCGCACACGACCGACGGTAGAGCAACATACGAGCGGTCATGGCCGACGTCGACATGTCCGACGTTGGTCCCCCAACCGACCACAGTCCGTCCTCTGCCCCCGAAGAGACGCTGAAGTTGCTATACGATCTTGACGCACTGACTCAGATACCCGAAGGGGGAGTTCACCAAGGACATACCGAAACCGCCGATAGGGGAGTTTACGAAGCCAGCGAATAAGTCGACCCCGACGCCAGATGGGCAGCCTGGACCTTCGTCGGTGCCGGCCGGCGCTGAAAACCAAGGTGATGACGACGACGACGACGACGAGGAAGAGAGCGACGACGAATTCGACGAGCGTCCACCGCGTAGCACAAATCCGCGCACCCTTGAAGAACGCATTAGGCAGGAGTTTGAATACATAAATGACATGCTCGAACAGGACGAGAAGGAGGACGAGCAGAACATGGCGGTGCCACGAGAATAGTGGAAGGCGACAGACTTCGTACTGGACGACATGGTGTACTCCAACATCGACGTGCTCGTCATGGACGCCCTACGCCACCTACAAACCTTGGAGAAAAAGAGCACGCTCAGGCTGTACACCTCGTTCATCTACCACTACAAGAGGTGGGCGGCGATGATGCTGAAGCAAATACGCGACAAGCTACCCCGACTTAGGCACGTGGTGCGCGGGGTGAGCACCGACTTAGGCACGTCGACGAGATCGGCCACTACATCCGCGACAACAAGAAAAAGGGTTGGTGCAACGAGGCCGTGGTCCCCCGACGGTACATCTGGCTGCACGGTCCTAAGGTCACCGAAACCCGGCTGCACGCCTACGTGAAGCAAATGAGCCGTGAGTGTAACCTCACTGTCGAGCCGACCGATGAGGGGAACAATGCCACGCGAACAGCGCATGTGCGATCGACAACGGTGCACACGATCCTTGGGCGCATAAAGGCATGCCAGATGGCGGCGAGGGTGGAGGCGACGCTGTACCGGGAGACGGAGCTGGGCATCATGAGGGAGATCTCGGTGGTCAGATCGCAAGTGCGGTTCAACGTCCGCACTAAGAACGAGAGGGACATCGAGTAAGTTGGTCGACACCTCAAACCTCAGTCTTCATCACAGTGAAGTCGACGCAGTCTAATAGATTTACCCCGCGGATTTGTGTTCAGGAATTGCGCCGACCGTCGACGCGGCACCATCGGCGATACCTACACCGCCGAACAGTTCCGCCAGATCATGATGAAGGTGCTGCCGACATGGGCGGCGGCGGCGTGGAACCCGCGGGAAACCACTCCGTCGCAGACGCTGTGGAGATTCCTGCTCGTCAAGGTGCTCACGCTACTCTCCCACCACTCCCTCCTGTGCGGCGCCAGCATCCGAGAGATCACGCTTCCCGACGTTTTCTTGTATCGACTGGAGAGCACCTCGTCGGTGAACCCGGATAACCAGCCTGTCGTCATGGTGATCGCAGCGCGTAACTCGAAGACTTCCAAGGATGCCCGTCTTCAGCAGAGCTACGCGGCGCGACATCTTGAAGCAGAGTTGTGCGCCGTCGGCGAGACCAGCCTATGGTTGCACTTCATCCTCGACCAGATCGGTCAGTTCTCCGGCGTCGACTTCCTTCCGCCGCTTGACACCACGAACGCGAACGCTGGTACAAGAAGCATCTCTTCTTCGCCAAAAACGACAAGGAGCAAGACGAGCTCCCCGCCGCCAGCCACCAACGTTGGACTCGGCAGATGTGGACGACCAACAAGGTGTTCTGCAAGCGGAACGTGCACGCCGCACGCGCCGGAGGTGCGTAGGAGCTAGCCATCGAAGGGACGCTGCGCGCCAAGATCGCCGAGCTGGGACACTGGGCTCTCGACAAGATGACGCGTGCTTACATCACAGCCATTCCCGTTGGGGTGGTGATGAGGAAGGCCGGCTACTCGGGTTTCAAGCAAGACTAATTCTTGGGTCGCAGCAGGGTCGAGCCCTCCGCCAAACTCCTGGACATCCTCGCCGAGCACATTTTCCCCGGCGTGGATGCTATGCTGCGCGATATATGTTATGCGTCGCCGACAATGTTATTACGTCGCCATGGCCTAGTTGGCTGCCCAACACCCTACTAACCCACATCACTTGCCAACTTGCAGGCGAAAACACGTGCTGTCAATGGGAGCGACGCCGACAAAGCCGCCGTGCACTTCTTGCGACCCTCCTGATGTTCCGTCGCATCGTCGCCGAGGACCTCGCGGTGAAGCTCGTCCGCACACCGTGGCACCCGTACGTCCAAGGTTCCAAGCTCTGCCGGACTGCCCTCTTCCAGCACTGGGCGAAAAGGGTCGAGGCAGTCGACACCGAGACGATCAAAAAGCGTCGGGACCCGACACAGATTCAGCCAGAGGTGAGATGACGACGATGTCGGCGTCGTTCTGCTACCGGGGAATTCTAAACTCATTTCGCCTTTCCGCCTACCACTGCAGGAAATCTCCGTCCGCATGGACACCCAGTATCATAACATGTCCCTCAAGGAGACGCTGAAGTACGAGATCGAGCGCGCCGCGGTCGAGAAGATCGACCTTCAGGAGAAGATCGAGATGCGCGACGATACCATCGCGACGCTGACCGCCGAGCTTGCTCGTCTCACCGAGGCACTCCGTGTGTCAGAAGCACGGAGGATGCCGTCGGCGCCGCCGTCGGCGACCGAGCCAGCGCCGAGCGAGGGCGGCTACGCGGATTCGACCAACACGGGGGCCGGAGCCAAGAAACGGGACGAGAAGCCCCCGAAACCCCCACAGACGGTTGACGAGGCTCGTTACGAGCTCAACGTGGTGAAACCCTGGCGGGAGGCAACGACCGTGAGGGACGCTTGGCGCCTCTGGAACTCCGCCACCGCCGATGACACCCGTCGCCTTTGCGAAAGGGTCGCCGAGCCGGGATTCGTCGACCACCTCACCCTCCTCAAAGGCGCGACGCAGGGTGCACACGACATGAAGGTGCGCCGCATGCTGAAGGCCATGGATGCAGTGCGCCTTCTTCGCTCGAGCGACGGCGATGCCGACACCGAAGCCGTCGTCGCTGCACTGAACAGGATCGCGGCGCCGGGCATTGGGACCTTCTGCGATGCCCTCACGGTGCTGAAACCGGAAACGGCACCGACGTACTCCAAGGAGCCTGGCATGGGAGTCAAGGGGCTGGGCCCCAAGGTGGTCTCGAAGCTACGTGTCGCCTGTGCTATGGTGGCGCTCAACTTGAAGCCGAGAACTTGGGTCGCCGACCTGTTTCCAGACACCTGGGAGGAGCAGATGCCGAAGACCGTGGCCGACTTGGCCAAGCAGACCGCACCTGCGCAGCGTCCTCCGACCAAGCGCAAGAAGTCGGCGTGAATGCTGTAGTAGTATTTGCGTGTGCGTAGTTTGATGCAGTATTTGTGGTCGACGTTGATAAACCATACTGCTTATATTGTTCGGGAAGTTTCGTGAAACAACAAGAACCGCCACGATCCAACAATTGTAATTGCGTTCGCCGACCTACAAACTACCCGAATATACTTGCATTCATCCTAACAATCTATGTCACGTGTTGTGCCGTCATATTCGCTGACATGGTTCATCGCCGAGTAACACGTGAGTGCAATTCAGTGGGTTTATCTCAGGTCGTCATCGCCGAAAAGGGTTCTTGTTACATGCACTACCAAAAAGTTACATGCACTACAACCTACCAATACTACCTAAACCACGCAATCGGCGCCGCCCAGACTACACCCTAGCAATCAGACCACCTAGCGCTCCCTCCGGTCGCCGACCTGTTTCCAGACCACCTCGCGAGTCCTCCGCCCGCCGACTAAGCCTCCGTACTGTCCTTGTTCTGCTTGCCCGTCTGCCTCTTCCTCCTCTTGCTGCCCTTGCCTTGTTTGACCTTCTCCCCCTTCCTCCCCCTGTGCTCCATATCGTAGTCCATCTGCGCGTCACACGGCACATCGATGCCATGCTTTTTGAGGTTGGGCCCGGCGACGGGGCACATTCCCCAGAACGCCATGGTCTCGACCGTCGCCCTAGCGATCACGTCGGCTTCGACTCCCACAACTCCTTCCTTGAAGGCCCTCTCCACTGCTTGACCCTGCAGCGCCGGTGCGACGTTCTGTGCAACCTCCCCCGCGGGTGGCTGCCTATGGGTCTCTATGTCGATCACCGCGTGCATCACCTTGAAGACCTCGGCCGTCTTCTCACTCGCACCTGCCACCATCGCCGCCGCCTTCCCTTCACCCACAGCACCGAGCACCGACGCCCCCGTCTCGACAAAGCACCAGACCGCGCAAGCGGAGGCCGCTAACGCCTGGGCCGCCATCTCCGTCTTCTCATCCGTCTCTCCCGCCTTCCTCGTCGCGCTCGCAGCGACCTTCCCAAACGCCGACATGAATGCGTCCGTCTCCGCCTTGCCTTCCTCCATGTCTTGAACGATGGGGAACCACATCGCCAACAAGAGCACGTCGTGAAGCGCATCACCCGAACCCGAGTACCCACGGTACCTGTCGAGTATATCATCGAACCTGCCACGCAACCACAATAAAAAGGGCAAACGTTACGACACCGACTTCGTCAACAGCACTCGGCAGATGGATAACCGTCTTACCGATCTCTCGGGAGGCACACGCCTCTGGCCCACATCACCGTCCACATCCCAGTCGGCACGAACTTGACCTCCTCCCACACCTTCCTCCATTCCTCCAGTTGGGTTGGCTTCAAGACGTGGAGCTCGTCCATGAGCACCTTGCTTACGTAACTGTCGTAGACGACGTACGCAATCGAGTGCACGTAGGCCAGCTCCATCTTGTCTCGCGATTTGCCTATGTACCGATTCTCGCCGAGCACCTTAATCTCGCCCACCCACCCTAGCCCGTCGCCCGTCTTGTCGTGGCGGATGCCATGACCCCTGCGTCCATGCTCCTTCTCCTTCTCCTTCTTCGCCGACTTTCCATCCCCGACCGAGCCCTCTTCCTCCTCCGTCTTCTCCTTCCATTTTTTCTCCGACTGAACCTTGCCGACCGTCTTCACCGCCTTATTCTCCTCCGCATTCTCCTTCCCTTTCTCTACCGACACCTCCTTCTTCCCAGTTGTTGCCCTCGTTTTCCTCTGAGAGGCCGCCTTCCCTTTCCCAGTGTCGGCCGTCCCCTTCCTTTCCGACTTGCTCTCGCCGACAGCGGCCGTAGAAGCCGGTGGCTCCGCCGAACCACCGGCGTGACTCCCCGATGGCTCCACATGCGCCGTGTCCAAGATGGCCAGGGCGGGGGGGTGCCCGGTGCATGTTGCCGCTTCAAAATGGGTACGGATGGCAGCGATGTCGGCGTCGTTGTCGGCTCCGCCGCCGGTGGCTAGCGCTGCACGCACACCCTTCTCCGCCCCCGCATCGACAACAGCTGCACCCGGAGTGGGTGCTGCCTCATTTACCGACGGCATCGTCGCGCTTGTGCCTGCTTCCTGCTGAGTCAGTGAAGGCGCTGCCGCTCTCCGTACGCCTAGCTGGGCGCGAAGCAATGCGGACTTCGGGTCCACCGGAGGACGGGCGGCGACCTGAGGCGCGGTAGGTGGGGCACAGGCCGTTGTGGCTGCGACCTGCGGAGTGGCCGAGCGACGTGCTGTTTCGGCGGGGGCGGCCTCGACCGTGCGAGGCTGCTGCTCGTCCACGCGATGTGCCTCCATGCGGTGGAGCAATTCTCTGAGCACGTCCGCCGCTGCGGGCACCCTAATGGCGGACGGACCACCGCGGTTAGCCGCAGCATCCTTCGCGTCGCCCTTGCCGGCAGAAGGGCCGCTGGAGCTGGAGTGGCCGCAAGGGCCGGCCCATCGTTGTTGGCGGCTGACTAGCCGGCCGGCGCGCTTCTAGCCGCAGGGGGTTCACGGGGCTTCGACGTGGACCCCGCCACTGTTCTGGCGCCGCCATCTATTGCCGTCTGAGCGGTGGGGAGCTCCTTGTCGCTCAAGACTTTCCCACCGCTCGCCAAAGGAGGGGTCTGCTCGGCGACCAAAGGCGGGCCTTCTTGTCCCGCATCTTGAGCAGCAACCACGTCGGCAGGGCCACCCTCTGCACCCCCGCTTCCATCGCCCTTGCTGTGCGACGTCCTTATCACCTTCCACCCTTTCTTCTTCAGCTGGTCGACCACGCTCTGACCTTGAGTCCTCGACCCGCCTGGACCGCGGCTCCCATCGGCTCCCTTGCTCCGCTTCGCACTAACCGCATCATCTCCTCCGCCCGCCCTTTTCCCGCCCTGCTTGTCGGCCTCCCTTCGATGCGCGGGATCGGCGTCATTGGCCGACGGCGACGACCCACGCCGACCAGGCGCCACAGTGCCGATCATCTCGGTCATGATCTTTATCCCGGACACAACAAATGACTGCTGGGTGGCCGCCGTCACCGCCTTCAACACGTCTGCCTTGAACGACTTCATGAGCTCGTCCGGGAAGGCGGGCGTTGGGGCGGGCGGCGTGGGCTGCGGCGGAGGCGGCGGCTGCACGGCGATGCCGAGCGCCACCGCGGCGGCAATGTTGGTCGAAGCGGCGGCAATTTGCTTCGAGATGTGCTCCTCCAAGCCCTGTTTCGCACCGTCTACCACCACTTCCACGTGGTTGGCCAAGGCGGTGACCGCTTTCGCACGTTCAACTGCCAGATTCCCCTCCGGGTCGTCGACTGCGTCCAACCACGCCGACGACTTTTCGGCATAGCGCTTCATCGCCTCCCAAGCTTCGCCCATGCTGGCGGTTATGCTGTCTGTGACGGTCGTCGACATGGTCAAGGACGCGTCTAGCAGCCGACTCGCCGCATTCTTGTCGGAGAGGGCGACCTGGTCGGCCAACGACTTCAGCTTGTCCATGAGTCCATGTACTCCCAACGCAAACATGTCCACCCGCTCCTTCTCCTCTCTGAGCGCCGTCCTCAGACGAGAATTTTCTGTCGTCAACCACCTGTTCTCCTGTCGCAGCTGCTCTACGACGTCTTCAGATGCCTGCCGACCAGATGCATCCCCCGTCCCCTGCACGCCCCTGGTGTGAGCCCCTTCGCCGACGTCGACCAAGACCTTCCCACTCCCCTCGCAGGCCGCCTCCACACCGACCTCCTCCTTCTCGTTCCCCACATCTGCCGACCTCGTACCCTTACCCTCCTCTTCCTCGTTCTTATTATCCGACGACCCCGCCGCCTTTTCCGCCACTCCCACCTCGTACGTACCCTCTACGTACTCCACCTCGTACCCCACCACTTCCTCCTCCTCCACCGCATCCTCCTTATCGTCTCCCCCCTCCTCGTCCTTTTCCTTCACCGCCTCCTCCTCCTCCTCCTCCTCCTCCTCCTCCTCCTCCTCCTCCTCCTCCTCCTCCTCCTCTCCTCCTCCTCCTCCGACCCCGACCCCGACTCCTCCTCCTCCTCCGACTCCGACTCCGACTCCGACTCCTTCCTTCCTGCACCCGCCTCTGCGTCACCTCCTTCGTGTCCTCCTTCCGCCGAACCCCTCGCGTCCCCCTGATGCTGGGCGGCATCTGCTGCTGGGGGCGCGGTCAGTGTTTCCACACCGTCGTCATCAAACGCATCGTCGGCAGGTCCGGCGGCTTGAGAGGTCGGCGCTGCATATCGTTTTTCGGCGATGCGCTTGCAGAGGTACTCCACCATGCTATTCCGGAGCGACTTCAACCCCGTTGTCTTGATGTTTTCGATCCTCACCCCACCTCTTCCCTTGTCGCCCGTCAGCATGTCGATCTGTTTCGCCACCCATCCAAACGATGTCGCGGCAAGGATGCCGGTGCCGGCATGCCCGTCCGACACTATGTCTGGCACTTTCTGCATACAACACCGGCATGCGCGCATCATAATGAGCGTATGATACAGAAACAAGGCCCAAACCCCCCCTGAAAGGCATCGACGTGCAACTCACATCGCGAATAGGGTGGTCGCAGTCGGCGAGCCTGACCTCCACCACTTCTTGTGAGGGCGACGCCGACGACCAAATCCTACCGGGACGCCCCAGCTCGGCCAGGACAGCCGTGCGGAAAAACCTGAAACATGACAGAGGCGATCAGCACGTGACACCCTTTGTCGGCGACTAACAAGCGTGACATCGACGACAATTCACAACTCACTTAAGCACGCGGACGGCCTCGTCGCGGTGCCGGAGTTTACCGGTCTGCGGGTCTATGTGCCAGATTGAGGTCCTACACTGCTGTCCCTCGGCCTTCAACATATCTCCTGGGTAGAGGATGGCTACGACGCTGCAGTGCGTTCCTGGGAGCGGCCCGCCGCTGCACATGCAACGCACGCCGACGTCGATCACAACAGAGAGTAGAAAGGGCAACAAACCGAACAGGACACTGGACAAAGGAGAAACTGACTCACATCGTTCTCAGGGGGATAACGGCGACGTCCGAGTCGAATACCGTCGCAAAGCACGAATGGTCGTCGATCTTCATGGCAGCTCGAAGCTGGCCGACGCCGATTGACCACAACCTCTGGCCGTCGGGCGCTATGCGCAACCAAGCGAACCTGAACGTACGGTTGGGCAGATAGGGCAAGTGAGCAAACACTACCACGACGACGACCGTTCGTCAAACGCCGACTGAACGTGGTCAACGACGCTTACTACGCCGGGGTCCATGCCTACTACCGCGTACGCCGACCTAGGTATGGCTGCAACCGGCTACAACGCTGCCCCCAAACGGCGCCGACATCTGCCCTACGCGTCCACCTATAGTAGGTCGGCGCCGATATCAAACCTACGCGACTACTAGACTCTCACTTGATGCCGAAACCCAAGCAGCGCTCGTTGAACTCTTTCTTGTGGTCGCGATGGACGGCGAAATCGTCCCACTCGAACGTGAAGCTGAGACCGCGAGCCATTCGGTGACGAAGAGGAAAGTCATCCGAAGTCGGCGCCGACTTCTCAGCGTCTGGGCTCGGCTCCATAACGACAATGGGGTTGCGCGGACGGCTAAGGGACGATAGCGCGGAATAAGGGAGGGCGCAGTGCTAGCAACGGTTGTAGATAGAAACGAGATGCGGAAAATGAGGAGCGAAGCCCCCTTCCAGGAAGAAAAGGAGGTGGTGCCCCACCACGGGCCGGTTGAGCATCGCCCAAGGGTGTGGGGCCTGGCTCGGCAGGCCTCGGAGGGCGCATCCGCAAGTGGCACAGGGGGTCCTTCTCCGCCGTGGCTGAACGTCGACTTCGCGTCCATTGGCCCAGGTCGACGAGGGGACGCAATGTCGCATGTGCGCGGTGCGACGTTTCGGCAGACACGTGTCGATTTCGTAGCGGGTCGCGAAAATCGTGCGCCGCGATGCGATTAATTCAATTTCCGCATTGACCGAAATTTCGCATGCGCACGATGCGTACCCACGCGCGAACACGTGGCGCCACCGCAACGGGTCGTGAAATTGTCGAGCGTCCCGAGGGGAGCCCCCGAATTTCGCATGGGCCTCGCCTGCCCGTCCGGGCAGGCCGCGATGGGTTACTAGGACGTCGCGGGCAGGAGGGACGGGTGGGCTGCCTTTCCCTCGCGCAAAGGCTCGCCAGCTCGCCGCCCCCACCCGGTAACGTGGGTCGCTGTTCGATCACGCGGGGGGGTTGCGGGGCGGCGGTCGTGCGCTAGGCCCAGCCCTGGGCTAGGCTGGCGGGCCCGCACGCGCGTCAGTTGCCCGCCTCGTCATGCCCGGCTCCGACGACCCCCCTCGACGACACTGGCAAATCCGTTCTGACGACCGATTTGCGCTGGGGTGTTCGGGATGAAAGAAGGGTAGATAGACGAGATACTGAAATTTATCGAGGCCCATGTTTATAGAGGTTAGAATAATTTATATATTTTGAAGGTTTGTGTTTTACAAAGGACTGCTCGAAACGCGTACGCATTTGACCTTAGCACCACAATGCACCTGTAGCTTTCAAAAGGCTAACTCGTTCTAAAGTTTCCCAATTACTTTCGTGTTAGATAGTACCAGCCTACGACTTTTCGTGCATAGTCGTCAGCGGTTATTCAATCAGTGCCCTTAGTCTGTTCCCCCGCAGGCGCCCAATTTCAATTCGGAGAATTAGCTCGTTGACTTGTAAGCTCGCAGACTCGTAGTCTCATTGACTTGTAGACTTATTGACTCGTTTTAGGTAGATCCTACTCCCGGAAGCTCGTAGACTCGTTTCGCAGATCAGCCTGCGAAACGCCGCACCGTCATGTCGTCCGCAGGTAGAAACGATCCACCGGGTGGAACTGGGGAAACTGGGACCGGGGGAGGCGGAACTGATGGAAGCGGACCGCAACAGCAAGGGGAGCGCCGCACCGTCATGTCGTCCACAGGTAGAAACGATCTACTGTGGGGAAACTGGGACCGGGGGAGGTGAATCCGGGGAAGTGGGGTCTGTGGAAAGCGGATCGCAGCAGGGGGAAGGGAGCGTGCGCGCTTCGGCGGAAGCGCAGGGGGAAGGGAGTGCGCCGTCGCGACAGCCTGTCGCGGAAGAACAGGCGGAGGGGAATTTTCCCGCAGAGCAGCAGAGCGAGGGGAGCGGGGATTACCGGGGGCAGGCGCAGGAGCAGGTTGAAGGGAGTCCCCGCGCAGGATCGGCGGAATCGCAGGGGGAAGGGAGTGCGCCGTCGCGCCAGGCGGAAACGCAGGCGGAGGGGAACTTGCCGGCAGAGCAGCAGGGGGAGGGGAGCGGAAATCCAGCGGGGAAGGCGGAACAGAAGGGGGAGGGGGGCTGGCGGAAGAAGCCAGTGGTTGTGAGCGTGCTGGGCATGGCAGGTGCTGCTTCGTGTCAACTACCCTGTTGCATTGTGTCAATGAGTATCAATCACTTGTGACCAATCGTGGTAGCAGCAGGGGAAGGGGGGCCGGCTGAAGAAGCCAGTGGTTGTGAGTGGTGGGCATGGCAGGTACTGGCTCTGGTGATAATCAGGCAGTACCTGCCTGGCTATATCCGAACCTCTGGTGATGCCCTTTTCACGATTCTAGCATAAGCTTTTGTGTGTTATCTCGTCGCAATTGCTTCACCTATCCTCGCCCTTCCGCATCTTTTTCCCGTCCTTCTATTCCTGCTCTCTGTCGTCTCTCTCCCCTTTCCCCTCTCCCCTCTCCCCTTTCCCCTCTCCCTTCTGCCCTCAACCTTCAACAACAACCCCTCAAATAAACTTCCAAACTGCAACAGGGAACGCCAAGACTACAGTTGTGGAGCGTCGTATCCGTTTTAAGACGACTCAGCACTCCACCACCTTCCCCCCCCCTCCCCCTCTCTCCCCCCTCTCCCCCCTTTCAAGCCCTCAACTCAACGCTGGTCAGGCAGTGGCAAGCCCTGATGCAGCGCCTATACGCGCACATGCACGGCAGCAGCATCGCCCACTACCGCATCAACCTGGACCCGACTGTGCCCTCCGTGCTCTTTTCCCCAAACAGGCAGTGGGAAAACGACTCTCATACAGCGACTAAACGCGCACATGCACGGCAGCAGCATCGCCCACTACCTCATCAACCTGGACCCGGCTGTGCCCTCTGTCTCGTCTGCCATCCGCTCTCGTTTAGTAATGCAGGCAGTGGCAAGACAACGCTAATGCAGCGGCTGTACGCGCACATGCACGGCAGCAAGATAGCTCACTACCTCATCAACCTCGACCCGGCTGTGCCCTCCGTGCCCTCAGTTCCCCCCTCTGCCTTCCGTTGCCCCCAACCCCCAACAGGCAGTGGCAAGCCCTGATGAAGCGCCTATACGCTCACATGCGCGACAGCAGCGTTGCTCATTACCTCATCAACCTCCACCCTGCTGTGCCCTCCTTGCCCTTTTTCTGCCCTTGGGTCCCCAACTGTGCCTCTCTGCCCTCCTCTGCCCTCCGCTCCCAACCCCCAACAGGCAGTGGCAAAACCACCCTGATGCAGCGCTTATATGCTCACATGCACGGCAGCAGCATCTCCCGCTACCCCATCAACCTGCACCCGCCTGTGCCCACCTCTGCCCTCTTCCGCCCTCCTCTGACCAGGAAGTGGGAAAACAACCCTCATGCAGCGATTATATGCCCACATGCACGGCAGCAATATCGCTCACTACCTCATCAACTTTCACCCGGCTGTGCCTTCCGTACCCTCTGTGCATCCAAACGCTTCCTCCCGTTTCCCCCCTTTAACCCCATTTAGGCAGAGCGGGAAAACGCAAGTGCTCAGTCACTCACTTGTTTTTGCTGCCGCTGCCATCTCACTCCCCCCGCTTGTTGATTCTTGCAGGATTGCGTCAAGGCAGTAGCAGTGGTAAAGCTGAGCTAACTCTTCCATCTGATGTGCCCAAATAGCATTCCTGAAGTCGAACAGTCATAATGAGGTATCCAGTGGAGACAGAGGGAGACAGTTGAAAAGCAGCATCTGTCAACCATAGACAATTTTGAATAAAGTGGTGAGTATACGACAGTTACGGAGTTTAAAGTGGGCTGTTTTGGGAATGTTTTGGAAAACATCGTTACAAGAGAGCAAGCCGATTAGAGTTTGCTGGATGCATATTTGATGAATACCAATTGCTTAGATTCACAAATCATTTTTTTATAAAAACAAACAAATGCAAGCCATATTTCTAACCACTGTTACAGAAAGACCACAGGCGCTTATCCCGCCGCTTGGGCTTGAACGCAAACGCGTACAAGTACACGTACAGAGTTCTCCGCTGTACTTCCTCCCACCGCTCCCTTCCGAACCGAGTTCTCCATTTCTTCCCGTCATCCTCAACAGATTCACGAATCACTCACAACCACCCATCGTTCCATCGCCTATTAGTAGTTGTAGCGGTTTTAAACCGGGGTGCACATTCAGCTGAATGTGCATCAAAGGTTATCCCTTGACTGAGTGGGTTACGAGGTGTGCTTTCAACCCCTTCAAGTCGAAATTCGTTTCCCCCCTCCCCCGCAATTTCGTTTCCCCACGCCCCCGCAATTTCATTTCCCCCTCCCCGTCGAAATTCGTTTCCCCCCTCCCCCGCAATTTTGTTTCCCCCCTCCCCCGCAATTTCGTTTCCCCCCCCTCCCGCCAATCTGTTTCATCCCTCCCGCCATTCGGTTTCACCCACTCCCGCCATTTCACCCCCTCCCGCCACCTACGAAATGCCCGAAGCTCTAGCGGAATCATTTTTTTGTCGCCCCTCGTGAGCCAATCACTGTTTTTCTCCAAACCCCCTTCCCAACATCTCAAGCCGAACCGCGTTGAATGTGCACCCTGGTTTTTAGGGAGGAATCGTCTGCATGACACACTCGTTGGTCCAAAAGTCGTAGCTCTTCGGCACCAGGAACTTCATATTCTTGAGCCCCACGATGTTGTACTTAAACTCCTGACCCTGAGCATTCTTAGCCGTTAGAAGGGGTTCGAATGCACCAGGTTCTGCTAGGCACTTACCGACGCTTTCGTATCCGTAAGCGTCGTACCAGCCGAAGAAGTCGGGATTCGTCGCAGGTCCCGCCATACTGTTAGCGATCGAGAATATCATCGAGTCGATCCCGGGGTTCCCGTTGGGCGTCGGGTTTCCCTTAAGATACATCATGCAATCTTGGCAGTCATCGGGCCGAACCAGCAGTGAAAACACGACAGGCTGAGGGTCCGACGCGGAGTTCGGCTTGAGATAATCCATCGAGTGGAATCCGCAGTTATCTGTGCAAAAGCCATCGCTAGTGACGTTCTTGCTTGCGAGAATCAGGTAGATACCATTGGCGTCGTAGGGAAGCGGCTTCTTGCGGCCAATCTTGCTGCGAACAACTGTGCCACAGTAACAATAAGAAAGCGCACGTGGTGACAACTCTTAGATTCGATGATAAGGGCGAGCATATCATTCCAGGAGGAGGTCAGCGGTTTGACGGAATGCCTGCAATCAAAGATGATACATGTACTTGCGAAAGGACGACACTTCTGGTAAAGAGGCACACACACCTTCAAAGGCAGTGCTGACACTGATTTTCGTCCCCACAGATCCTTTGTCTTGGATTACCTTCGCGACTTTCACCTGGGAAAGGCAACAGGGGGTGGAGTTGGATTGTTTAACTTCATGAAAACCGCCGCAAAAGAATTACAGTCCGTATCTAGCAGCAGTAGCCCGTTTCGTGGTTCACAATTGTTGCTTTCTTCGTTTCTTTGTTATGTTTCTAATGTTCTTTTTTGGTGAAGCCGTCGTTTTGAAACCCTCATGCCGAGCTACGCTTGGCCGATGCCGCACCTGTCTGGTCCTGAACGTACCATTTCATTTTTGAAATTATACCTTCTTGCTGACGAAGGCCTTTGTCCCGCCTTTTGCCAACGAGAAGTATCTCGTATTGGTAGCCCACCAATAGCTCACTTTGGGATCCCCGGCTGCACCCTGCTTATTGGCGCTTCCCAGACTCAGTGACGAGATAAAATTCTCAATTATATTCTGTCCCGCTTTTGCTGGCCAGGTGCCATAGTAAATTATGTACACATTCAGCGTCGCGCCGCTCATCACGCGGCCGCCATGGTATTCGATGACCAACGTGTCTGTGACGGACGACGCGAGTCCCTGTTTGCCGCGTCTGTCGCGTCGCTTCGTGTCAAAGCTGGTTTTCGTTCCGAGCATCTGCACAGGGTGTCGGCCGGGCCGAGATTCGCCGCGCGGGTCGACGACGTGGATCAGCTTTCGCTCACGGCCGCTCAGCTGTCGCATACGAGCGACGCCGCGCACCGGGCCGGCGAATGCGGGTGGGACTATCCAAAGGCTGACGAGCATTACGACCGAGAGAGCGAGCAGCAGGGAACTAAGGATTTTTGCCATGGTGGGGAACAGCGAGACTCTTGCTGAATTGTCATTGATAGCTTCTAGTAGTAATATACCGCGGAGGGCGGTTCGGGTGCGAAAATAAGGAGTGAATGGGACAAGGCTGGTAGACTCGGAGTCAGGACAAGGTTGATAGACTTCGCCTGAATACGAAGCGAATGGGACAAGTTTACTAGACTTTGCTGGTGAAGAATCGAAGTTGAAGCCTCCCCCTAGGCTGGTTGGGTTGGGTGGGAGAGCAGGGCTCTCGATTTGTTTGTGCACCCTGCCAGGTCGGACCTGTGATCCGCCCTCACCTGGGCACGCTAGTGTGATTGGTGCTTGCGAAAGCCTCGAGTATCATTTCTGGTTGCCTAACAATTCGCGTGGTTCGCGAAACCTCGCTGAGTGTCCAGCTAGCTAATCAACGGGCAGCATCCAGTTTCAGAGCCAAGCCACATGTAATCCCCACTATAGGGTGATCGCCTACTCAAATAATGACGTTTTTGTTTATGTCAGCCACTATTGTCCGATAGCTGTCTGAACGTTCTGACGACCTCTGTCCCTAAGAAATTGCTGGTTGTTCAGAAAGCATGCGTCTTGGAAACTATTAGTTATTTTCAGCAGTAGTTAGACCCGTCTGTTGAGCTCGTTGTTCGTTAGGTTCCCCTGTGTTTAGGGTTGGATCTCGGTGGTAAATCCATCAGGGGTTTTCCAGCCTCCAGACTCAGTTCATTTTTCCATCGCGTTGCAACGAATTCGTGTGTGATCACTGAAGACGGCCCTCCTCCTGTCTGATATTCCGTAGAACGAGTTTCAGAAGCCCCATACTCGCAGGGAGCGTTAGGACATCGATATTGACTGCCTGCGGCCTGATCTCCTTGACTGATTGCTTTACGAACCCCCCTCTAGCTTCCAGAAAAGGCCAGCTTGTTCCGACTTATTATCTTGCTACATAAAATCAGGTCAGCCAGGCATCAGCGGTTATTCCTAGACTACCCTTTGTCTGTCCCCCCCCGCGCGCCCATTTAAGATCAAGAGCATCGAATCGTTGAATTGAAAGCTTGTAGACACGTAGGCTCAATCTCGTTGACTCGCTGACTCGTTGACTCGACTCGCAGTTTCGTTGACTCCCTGTCTCGTTGACTCGTTGAGTCACTCGGTTGACTCTTTTTAGAGCTGACGTACTGATTCGACCTTCTTGCGAAAACGCCTCACCATCATGTCGTCCGCGGATAGAAACGACTTACCGGGTGAAACAGAGGGAGGTGGAACTGGGGAAGGTGGGACCGGGGGAGGTGGATCTGGGGAAAGCGGATTGCAGCAGGGGGAGGGGAGCACCCGCGCAGGGTCGGCGGAAGCGCAAGGGGAAGGGAGTGCGCCGTCGTGCCAGGCGGAAGCGCAGCAGCAAGGGGAGGGGGGAGGGCGGAAGAAACCGATGGTTGTGATTGTGGTGGGCATGGCAGGTACGGCCTGGTGGTGACTTTAACGAAATGTGTGATTATAGCAATAAATGTGTGATAATGGAGGCAGGCCTCTTTCTCGTACTTCCCTGCACTCTCCGCCTTTTGCCTTTCAGGCCTTCGCTCTTTCTCCCCTCTCCCCTCTCCCCTCTCCCCTCTCCCCTCTCCCCTCTCCCCTCTCCCCTCTCCCCTCTCCCCTCTCCCCTCTCCCCTCTTCCCTCTCCCTCTCCCCTTTCCCCTCTCCCCTCTCCCCTCTCCCCTCTCCCCTCTCCCCTCTCCCCTCTCCCCTCTCCCCTCTCCCCTCTCCCCTCTCCCCTCTCCCCTCTCCCCTCTCCCCTCTCCCCTCTCCCCTCTCCCCTCTCCCCTCTCCCCTCTCCCCTCCATTACCTGATCAACCTCGACCCGGCTGTGCCCTCCAAGACCCCATCTTCCCTCCTCTTCCCTCCTATGCCCCCCTCTCAAATCCCATCAGGCAGCGGAAAAACAACCCTCGTGCAGCGGCTGTACGCGCACATGCACGGCAGCAAGATAGCTCATTACCTCATCAACCTAGACCCTGCCGTCCCCTCCGTGCCCTTCCTCGCCAATATCGACATTCGCACTTCAACATGTTTCTCACAACCCCCAACCCCCATCAGGCAGCGGAAAGACAATGGTGATGCAGCGGCTGTATGCTCACATGCAAGGCAGCGGAATCGCTCACTACCTCATCAACCTGGACCCGGCTGTGCCCTCCGTGCCCTCAGTTCCCCCCTCTGCCTTCCGTTGCTCCCAACCCCCATCAGGCAGTGGCAAAACCACCCTAATGCAGCGCCTGTATGCGCACATGCACGGCAGCAAAATCGCCCACTACCTCATCAACCTGGACCCGGCCGTGCCCTCCGTGCCCCCCTCTTCCCTCCTCTGCTCTCCTCTGCCCCCCTCTCGAATCCCATCAGGCAGCGGGAAGACAACGTTATTGCAGCGGCTGTACGCGCACATGCACGGCAGCAAGATCGCTCACTACCTCATCAAGCTCGACCCGGCCGTCCCTTCCGTGCCCTTCCGTGCCCTGCCGTGCCCTGCCGTGCCCTTCCGTGCCCTGCCGTGCCCTGCCGTGCCCTGCCTTGCCCTGCCGTGCCCTGCCGTGCCCTGCCTTGCCCTGCCGTGCCCTGCCGTGCCCTGCCTTGCCCTTCCGTGCCCTTCCGTGCCCTGCCGTGCCCTGCCTTGCCCTTCCGTGCCCTGCCTTGCCCTTCCGTGCCCTTCCGTGCCCTGCCGTGCCCTGCCTTGCCCTTCCGTGCCCTGCCGTGCCCTGCCGTGCCCTGCCTTGCCCTTCCGTGCCCTGCCGTGCCCTGCCGTGCCCTGCCTTGCCCTGCCGTGCCCTGCCGTGCCCTGCCGTGCCCTTCCGTGCCCTGCCATGCCCTACCTCGCCATCATTGACATTCGCGCTTCAACATGTTTCCCCCCAACCCCCAACCCCCAACCCCCTTCAGGCAGTGGGAAAACAACGCTAATGCAGCGGCTATATGCTCACATGCACGGCAGCAAGATCGCTCACTACCTCATTAACCTGGACCCCGGCTGTGCCCTCCGTACCCCCATCTTCCCTCCTCTGCCCTCCTATGCCCCCCTCTCAAATCCCATCAGGCAGTGGAAAACGACTCGCATGCAGCGTCTGTACTTGCACATGCACGGCAGCAAGATAGCCCACTACCTCATCAACCTCCTCCCTGCTGTGCCCTACCTTGCCAACATTGACATTCACGCTTCAACACGTTTCCCCCCAACCCCCTCCAGGCAGCGGAAAGACAACGCTAATGCAGCGCTTATATGCGCACATGCACGGCAGCAAGATAGCCCACTACCTCATCAACCTCGACCCGGCTGTGCCCTCCGTTCCCTACCTCGCCATCATTGGCATTCGCGCTTCAACACGTTTTCCCCAACCCCCAACCCCCATCAGGTAGCGGAAAAACAACCCTGATGCAACGCCTATATGCCCACATGCACGGCAGCAAGATAGCTCACTACCTCATCAACCTAGACCCGGCTGTGCCCTCCGTGCCCTACCTCGCTAATATCGACATTCGAGACACGGTGAATTACAAGAACGTGATGAAGGAGTATGGGCTGGGGCCGAACGGTGCGATTCTAACGTCACTCAATCTCTTCACCACCAAGATTGATGAGGTATGTAGCCTTCTGGGCTGTGCTGTGCCCTGTTGTGCCCGGCTGTGCCCTCCGTGCCCTATCTCGCCAACATTGACATTCGAGACACGGTCAACTACAAGAACGTGAGAAGGAGTATGGGCTGGGACCCAACGGCGCGATTCTGACTTCCCTGAACCTCTTCACCACCAAGATTGACGAGGTGCGTGTGGTGTTTGGTAGCCGCTCAGACCTCGAGAGAGACACGGTCAACCACAAGAACGTGATGAAGGAGTACGGGCTGGGACCCAGCGGAGCTATCTCAACGTCTTTGAACCTCTTCACGACCACGATTGACGAGGTGCGGTCAAATCAAACACGGTCAATCACGGTTAAACACGGTCAACTACATAGAAAATGTGATGGTTTTGGACCGAACGGTGCCATTCTAACATCGCTGAACCTCATTCCTTCACTACTGTTTCCTATTCTCGTTATTGTCACACCTCTCAGGTAATCACACTTGTGGAGCGTCGAGCCGACTTGCTCGACTATGTTTTCATCGACACGCCCGGGCAGATCGAAATTTTCACCTGGTCAGCTTCCGGAGCAATCATCACAGAAGCCTTCGCCTCCACCTTTCCCACGGCCGTTTGTTTTGTAGTGGACACACCCCGGGCGGCAAATCCCGGCACCTTTATAAGCAGCATGCTGTACGCATGTGGGATTCTGTACAAGACGCGGTTACCGCTGCTGCTGGCGTTTAACAAAACTGACGTGGCACGGCACGACTTTGCCGTTGAGGTGTGCTAGGGTTTGGGGTCAAGGGGTTAGGGGTTCGGGTATTTGGGGTTCCTTCTGTGGGCATGTGACGCGATTACCGCTGCTGCGGGATTTTGAAGCGTTTCAAGCAGCAGTGGATCGCGATCCTTCCTACGCAGCCTCGCTCTCTTGCCCCATCTGCCTCGCCTTCTACTCCAACTTGCATGCCGTGGCCCCTCTGAACCTCCCTTTCCTTCCTCTCCTTGCTCCTCCAAATGCTCCTCCCCATCCCTCCCACCTCTATTACCAGTGGATGCGGGACTTCGAAGCCTTTCAAGCAGCAGTGGATCGCGATCCTTCCTACGCAGCCTCACTCTCTCGCTCCCTCTGCCTCGGCCTGGACGAGTTCTATTCAAATTTGCACGCCGTGGGAGTCTCGGCTGTTACAGGAGGGGGGATCAAGGAGTTTTTCACCGCTGTCGAGGCAGCCAGAAAAGAGTACATGGAAGGCTACAGGTGAGAGAAGCTTTAGTTTTTGGAGCCTCAAAAGCTGACTCGAACAGTGCCTGTTTCGGATGAAATCTGCTTTAATATTGACGTAGTTGGGGTGTCTGCAGTACTTTCCATCGATTTTCAAATGTGCAGCCTCCAAAGTGCTTTTCATGTCTCATCTTTCGGCCCTGCTGCATGCATTTCTCATTCTCTTTGTATCTCCTTGATTATTGTGGTACTTTTCTCAAACTGCTTGGCATGCAGGGTTGACTTGGAGAAGATGAGAGCGGAGAAGGAGAAGAAAGAGGCGGAGAGGCAGAGTGCGGAGATGGCCCGGTTTCGTGCGGACTCTGCTTGATTGTTGTGTATTCCTTTCCTTCTTCAACTGCTTGGCATGCAGGGTTGACTTGGAGAAGATGAGAGCCGAGAAGGAGAAGAAAGAGGCGGAGAGGCAGAGTGCGGAGATGGCCCGGTTTCATGCCGACTCTGTGGGAGAGAGTGATGCTTTGGCCAGACGAACTGGGAAGATGAAATTGGACGACGATGGAGAAGGGATAGAGGAGGATGATGAGGATTTGATAGAGGAGGAAATGGAGGAGGAGGATATGGAAGACGAGGACGATGACATCTAACCAATTGCTTGTGATGGCAATGAAGACGATTAAAATGTTTTGAAATTTGGTATCCAGCGTTTAAAACGATCGTGACAACTGTAACACTGGTAGTAGTGATTCACAACTATTAACGCGGACGTCCCTTTTCTTGTATCTACACCACCTCCATCCTTGCCGCCACCATTTCCGCCTCATCCTCACCGTTCATCGTCAGTCCGCCATTGCCCGCATCGCGAATTCGGACCACCAACCCTCCGCCCGCCCCATCTCCCCTCACCAGCACGATCTCGTTCCGCGCATTCCGCCTTCCCGCGCACCCCGCACACGCGTTTTCCTCCCTGCGCCAACTGCCTTCCGCCTCGTCCCGCTTTTCCCGCCGCGCGACCCGTGACCCGAGCCTTCTTAACGATCCTCTCTCTCCCTTCTCTAGAAGACGAGGCGGCGATTTTATCCCTCTTCAATCAAATGTCGTCCTCCCGATCCGTTCGGCATGTTTGTCGAGCCGCTTTCAGCCACGCATCGCGGCAACTCACCCGGCTTCCGCGGCCGCCGCCATCCCGAACCGCGATCGCCTCTCCGTCCAACCTCTCCGCCAACGTGTCCGCCTATCGTTCCGCCCATTCTTCCCCACTTTCTCCCGCGTATACAGCAGCTGGATCTCCGTCATTTCCTCCCCTTCCTCTGTCCGTCAGACCCCTAATCACGGGACCAGTTACATCACGACTAATTACCCCATCAGCTAGCTGCTCCGTTAGTAGCTGCTCCGTTAGATCCATTAGTAGCCTGTCCAGACTATTAGAAGGTGCCACCATCAGCCGCAGTTTAAAGCCGTCTTTAAGCTCCAGCACCATTACCAGCACTCCCGCTGTTCCATCTGCCGTTTCGTCTGCCCTTTCTGCCCGACGATTCTTTGGCAGCAAGATCAAAGTGAAACCCTACTCGTGAGTCACCTCACCTTCTGTCACACCCCGTTTCTGTCGCATCTCGTCCTGTCACACACCGTTTCTGTCACATCCCGTCCTGTCACACCCCGTTTCTGTCACATCCCGTGTCTATCACCTGTTCTGTCATCCTTCATTTCTGTCACAACCAATTTGGATCGAACCTTGTTCATCCAGGTTCTCCACTTCCCCTCTCTCCCATCCTGCCCTCTGAAGGTCACTCAAGCGCCGGTTCAAGCTGCCAGCCAATGGCGAGTACAAGCGGTTGCAGGCAGGCAAGATGTTCTGTGAAACACACTCAATACACGCACGTTTATCCTTATTTTGCACTTCCCCAATCTCCCCTCTGACTGTGTCCAGCTCACTCAAGCGCCGGTTCAAGCTGCTAGCCAATGGCGAGTACAAGCGGTGGCGGGCAGGCAAGAGGCATAACGCGAGCACCAAGGTATGCCTTCAGTTATTACCTTTCTTTTCCTGTACTACATGGTATCAGATTTCAACACCCGCTGCACCTAAACCCCAATTCCTGTTTTCACCCCTTCCCCCCTCTTTTCCGTTGTCGTTCGCCTCTGAACCCACTCTCTCTTCACTATCCACAGACCAAGAAGCAGAGGAGGCAGCTGCGGCAGCCGTCAGTGGTGCCTCCAGGGCTAAAACAGCCCATGCGGTACCTTGGCTTTAAGAGGTAGCCCACTTGCTTCAAGATGTAACCACTTGAGATTAGAAGCAGAGCAGCTGCAGCAGCCATCAGTGGTGCCTCCAGGGCCAAAACAACCCATGCAATACCTGGGCTTTAAGAGGTAGCACATTGGCTTTAAGAGGTAGCCACTTGAAATTAGAAGCAGAGGGGGCAGCTGCGGCAGCCATCAGTGGTGCCTCCAGGGCTAAAGCAGCACATGTGGTACCTTGGCTTTAAGAGATAGCATATAGCCTTCAAGAGGTGGCCACGTAAAACTAACGTGCCGGTAGTAGCCCATTTGGCACCTTGGCTTCAAGAAGTAGCCACTTGAAAGAAGCATGCCAAGCGGTGGCTTCATGAGGTGGCACTTTGAAATTAGCAGACCAAGCTGTATTTTGCCTCTGATGGCTTGCTCACATGGTACTGTATGGCAATTTATAATGTAGCATTGGAATGTAGGAATGTAATGAAAGAACAGTTACACTTACAGACATTTTTACACCCTTTCACATTGCACTATACAGTACCATTGCATAGCTTTCCATGCCATGCCCTTTCACCAGTCAGTCGCAGAACACCTCCCCTCTCACACGCATGGTACCTCAACTCAACCGCGTGGACCATTGCAGATAGTCACATTCCAGATGCACTCTCACTATATTCACAAAAGACAGTATAACGCTGCATGCCCTTTCACTATAGTCACAGGCCAGCTCTCCCTTTGACACGGATTCCCTTATGCGCTACACACCTTACTCTACCCTTCACAGCAGCTTCCTGGCAAGTTCCTCCACCATTAACCGGCGCCCCGCACGCCACAGCAGCACCCACATCCCTAGCAGAATTTCGAGGCACCTTCTTGTTTTGATCCACCTTTTGATGTGGCACCTTCAGGGGAACCTGTTGAGACGCCTCAGAAACTTTGAAGGCACTTTCCGAGAGAGGGGAGGACGGCTTTTGAGGCGCCTGTTCAGGCGCTTCAGAAACTTCAGGGCTTGCCTTTACCCTCATGCCCTTGTGCTCGGCACACCGCACTCGCCCTTCCACTGCTGCCTGCCTACAAATCCCCCCTTGAGAGAGCGGTGCTCCGCAGACCTTAATCGCAGAGTCCTCTTGTCTTTTCTCAGGTGTTCTGTGAGGTGATCTGTCAGGAGTTTTGTCTGTTGGTCTAGCCAGTGGTCTGTCCTGCGGTTGTCTGTCCTGGGGCTTAGCAGCATAGTGATTTGAATGGCGGGTGGCAGAAGGAGAAACAGCACCGGAGGCAGTAGGTGAATCAGGAAGGGGAGCAGCCGCCGCCGCCGCAGCAGCAGAAGCGAGGGAGATAGAAGGCCCAACAGCCACAGGAGTGACGAGTCGAGCGACGGGAAGGAAGGGGAACGCAACTGCAACACGGCGAGAGAAGGAGGACCCGACTTGCAGCTTGGTCAAGAGGCGGTCGTGACGGCGGTGGTGGTTGTTGCAGACGTTCCAGACATAGTCGAAGGAAGAGAGCAGCAGGGTTTCCGTTGCCGCTGCTTCTGCCTTTGTGGTCGCCTGGGAAAGAGGGGAGAGAGGAATTAGGATGGGGATTGTAGCAAACGGGCACCAAGGGATGATAGTCAAGAGGCGGTTGTGGTGGTCGTTGCAGACATTCCAGACATAGTCGAAGGAAGAGAGGAGGAGGGTTTCCGTTGCTGCTGCTTCTGCCTTTGTAACAGCCTGGGAGAGGGGGGAAGGGAGGGATGACAGTCAAGAGGCAGAGAGGGATGATAGTCAAGACGCGGTGGTGGTTGTTGCAGACGTTCCAGATGTAGTCGAAGGAAGAAAGGAGGAGGGTCTCTGTTGCCGCTGCTTCTGCCTTTGTCGCAGCCTTGGAAAGAGGGGATCGAGGGATTGGGATGGGATGATAACAAACCCCCCGACCGCAGACACTTCGATAGCAAATACCTCAACCAGCAAATGCCCTCTTTGTTCCTTCCTACCCACGGCTTACAGCGGTCTATCGGAAGGTGAGAGCATAGATTTCTGCAAACACCCCTTCAAAGAGCTCCCTCAGGTGCTTTGACCCAACAATCAAACCCCCACCAACAGACGAATGCTCTCTCTGTGCTCCTTCCTATCCACAACTTACAGGGGTCCAGCGGAAGGTGAGGGCATAGTCCTGTGCGAAGACCCATTCAAAGAGCTCCCTCAGGTGCTACACAAAAATCATCACCACAACAACAGATAAATATTGCCCACGGCACGGCTTCCAGGGGTCCAGCGAAAGGTGAGGGCGTAGTCCTGTGCGAAGACCCATTCAAAGAGCACTGTGGCTCGTTCACTACGGGGTGTGAGTGAGAATCACCTTTCTGCTCCTACCCACGGCGTACAGTGGTCCAGTGGAAGGTGAGGGCATACAGTCCTGTGCGAAGACCCATTCAAAGAGCAATGTGGCTCGTTCAATATGGGAACAGAGATACCCGTTCAAAACGCTCTGTGTTCCTTCCTACCCACAGCACGGCTTACAGGAGTCCAGCGGAAAATGAGGGAATAGTCTTCCGCAAACACGCCTTCAAAGAGTTCTTTTAGGTGCGACCCTGACTGCCCATACTGCTGCATCCTGCTCCTCACACTCTCCGAATGCCCCACATACACCACCCGCACCGGCAACCCCTGCAGCCGCCGCTGCCGCCGAACCACCCGGTTCGGCAGGACCCCGAGCTCGTACACGCCTGGGCCGGTTTGGCTCGGAAGGTTTGCAATGCGGTACCGTGTGGTTCCTGGGACGCCTTGGGCATGGGTTGACCAGTCGTCAGCAGCGATTAGAAGCTGGCGAAGAGGGGAGGAAAGCAATGGGAGAGGGAAGGGACGAGAGGGAAAGAGGGGAACAGCAGCGATAATCAAGTGAGAGCACACATTGAGCGTCATACAACTTCCAAGTCCAGGCAAAAAAACGGAAATGGGGAGAGGACGTAGTGTGTAAGCTATATTATACATATATTCATAATTTATTACTGTAATGCCCAGGGCTATTATAATGGCGGTTACAAGGCTTTTATAATATTCCAATACAAAATAGTAGCTTTAACTAGCCTTAATAGCCTTGGAGATGAAGATCTTCTTGATGCCTTTGATGAAAAGCACTTGGAGTAGTAGTGTAGGGAGACTTGTGAGAGAGCCCAAAAGGACTTAGAGAAACAATCCCATTTCCAATTGTTTTGTTGGAGTGGGAGGTTCAGAATGAGCTTGCTTAGCTCAGACCCCCTCAATACACCCCTTGGGGAACTATCCCAACCATGGTTTCCATGGTGGGATGGTTCCTAGGCTTGGAGCCTATGTGGCAATTGTGTTGGGTTGGAAAACCCAACTTAGAACCATTCAATGGTTGTGTTTAGGATAGAGTAGATTGTAACACTTGTTTGGCAGTTTCTGATTGGTTGGAATTCCAACCTTCAACATTCTCTTGGTTGAGTTGGAAATGTTCCAAACCTCCAAAGTTGAGGCTTGGCAAACCCAAACCAAGTTTCATCCCAACCAACTCAACCATCTTCTCCAACTCTTCCTTTGTCGAGAGAAGTTCTCAACAATTGACTTAGAGAGAGATCGATGGTTGTTAGCTCGGTAGTTAGGGTAATATGTTACACTCCTCCCCCCCCAGGTGGCAACGTCCCCGTTGCCCTAGGGTGCTTCTGAGGACGAGTGCTTCGAGCACGGCGCACCACATTACGACCAGGGTCAACCCCGTCCACTGGTTGTGGGCCTGCTCGTAGAGCCAGGTCTTCCATATACGCTTGAACCGCTGCTTCGGTCAAGTGTTCCTCAGGCTCCCAAGAGTTGTGTTCCGGCCCATAGCCTTTCCACTGAATTAGGAACTCACGAACAGTTTTGCGGCCGCGTTGTCGATCACGGTGCGTTAGCACACGCTCGACTTCGTAAAAGAGTTCCTTCTCGAGAGCGATGGTTGGTGGCGGTAAGTACTTGCCTTCTGCAACGTACTTATTCAACAGAGACACGTGGAAGACGTTGTGAATCTGCAATGTCGCAGGCAATTTGAGCCTATATGCGACCTCACCAACACGCGCAATCACCTCGAAGGGCCCAATCCAACGAGGGAAAAGCTTTCGTGCTCCCGGGATCTTGAGACGAATGTTCTTCGTACTCAGTAATACTTTGTCGCCAACTGCAAAAACGACTTCCCGGCATTTCATGTCGGCATAGGATTTTTGCCTCTGTTGGGCAAGCTGCAGCCAATGGCGAGCGGACTTCAATGCCGCTTGCTGATTTCCAATAAAGTCCTTTGCGGCAGGGATTTTGAGGTTCTTAATCCCATGCGTCGCGGGGGTTGTGGGGTGCCGACCACAGTTCAGGACAAAGGGTTTCTCATGGGTGCTTTCATGCATAGAATTGTTTACAGCGAATTCCACGACTGGCAACAATTCATCCCAATCGTCCTGAGTTGGGCTTATGAAAGAACGAAGCATTTGCTCAAGAGTGCGGTTGGTCCGCTCTGTCTGTCCATCCGTTTGCGGGTGGAACGCAGACGACATCTTGAGTTTCGTTCCGAGTGTCTTAATGACCTCTTGCCAGAACCGGCTTGTGAAGCGCGGGTCTCGGTCAGACACCATCACACGAGGCAAACCGTGTAAGCGGAAAACGTGTGTCACAAACAACTTTGCCGTATCTTCCGCAGACACGTCAGTCGTCGTGGGCACGAAGTGCACCATTTTGGTCAAGCGATCCACAAACACTAGTATCACTGTATGACCATCTCGCGTCTTGGGGAGATCGGTGATAAAATCCATCGATACACTCTCCCAAGGTTCATCGGGAATCTCAAGTGGTTGAAGCAGACCACCAGGCTTCTGTGTGCTCGGCTTGTTCCGTGCACACATGTCACAGCGAGTTACAAACTGCTGGACCTCAATGCCCAATCCCGGCCACCAGTATACATCACTGAGGGCCCACCGGGTTTTCTTGACACCCAGGTGTCCTCCATACTTAGTGGCGTGCACCTCTGCGAGAATATCATTCCGCAGGTTTCCCACATGTGGGACTACAATTTCTTTCTTGTGCCACCAGAGCTCATGCTCCCACAAGAGATTGTTTGTATTCTGTGGGTTCTGAAACCAAGGGTCAATATCATACCCTGCGCGGATGCGTTTCAGAAAACCACCAAAGGCAATCTCGCTCACTCGAGCAGCTGCGAGGATGTTGAAACAAGCAGCAAACACAGCTTCATGTTCCTTATCATCAACACCCGTTGCTGCCCCAATCGGCTGTCTGCTCAGAGGATCAGCCATGTTTGTCGAGCCCGCTCGATATCGAATATCGTAGGTGAACCCACTCAGGAGTTCAGCCCATCGAGCTTGACGGCGGGTGAGTGTGGCTTGAGTGGCAAAATAGGTGTTCGGACAGTGGTCGGTCGTGACCACAAAGTCAACACCTTCGAGATAACATCTCCATGTTCGTAGCGCATGCACAACCGCCAACAATTCTTGTTCGGAAGTTGTATAGCGCTGCTCAGCCGGTGAAAGCTTTCTACTCTCAAATGCCACGGGGCGTCCTTCTTGCAAAAGAACTGCTCCAATCCCTACTGTCAAGGCATCAGTTACCACCTCGTAGGGCTTGGACGGGTCTGGCAAAGCCAGCACTGGAGCATTGGTCAGCATGGTTTTCACCTCCTCAAATGCCTTCTGGCATTGATCGGTCCACTGCCAAGCATTACCCTTACGAGTGAGGGCAGTCAGTGGGGCGACTACGGAGGAATAATTTTCCAAGAAACGGCGAAAATAGTTCGCAAGTCCAAGAAATGATCTGACCTGTCCCACGTCCTGTGGAACGGGCCACTGTTGGACTGCCGCCACTTTCTTTGGATCAACTTTGAGGCCATCGTTGCCTACCAAGTGACCAAGGTATTCCAACTCGCGTTTGTAGAAGTGACACTTCCACAATCGAGCAAAGAATTTATGCTCTCGCAGTTTTCCTAACACCCATTTCAGGTGTTGCGTGTGTTCTTCTTCGGTCTTCGAGTACACGAGGATGTCATCCAAGTATACCAGGACGAATTGGCCGATTGCCTCCTGAAACACATCATTCATTGCTCGCTGAAATGACGCGGGAGCATTTGTCAAGCCAAAACTTAACACACGCCACTGAAAATGCCCGAACGGCGTTCTGAAAGCCGTTTTTGGAACATCTTCTTCGGTGATTCGTAGCTGATGATACCCCTGAGCTAAGTCCAGCGCACTGAACCACTGAGCTCCCTGGAGCCGATCGAACAGATCCTCAATTCGTGGTAGAGGGTATCTGTTCTTCACCGTAATCTTGTTCAAGGCACGATAATCTACGCACATGCGTAATCCTCCGCCCTTCTTGTTAACGAACAAAATTGGTGCTCCGTAAGGGGATGCACTGGGTTCAATCCATCCTTTTCTGAGGTATTCCTCGATCTGTTGTTTGGCCTCTTCGTACTCAGCTGGACTGAGGCGATACAGAGGTCGAAAGGGTGGAACCTTTCCTGGTTCAACAGGGATGGTGTGACCCACTGCGCGGTCAGGCGGAAGTCCATCAGGGATGGTTTCAAACACTTCCTTGAATTCCTCTGCCAGTATTTTCATTTGAGGAGGGAAATCCTCAATTGCTGGCTCCGAGGCCTCGACATTCTCAAGCTGTACCACGAATAGTGTATCAGCCGACTTAACAGAATGCCCGAATTGGTTGGCCAATACACACAGTGCGCTGGGACGTTCAGGCGTCTGTGTTTCAGTGGGCAAAGTATCATTGACTTGCCACTGGATTGCCTTTCCGTTCTTGTTGAACGAGACAATGTTGTACTGGAAGTCCAGAATAACTTCGTTGGCTCTCAACCAATCCATGCCCAGGATGAGGTCGACTCCTGACAAAAGTGGTAGGACATATACGCGAACTGTTTCGCTATAGTCCTGTACTTTCATGTCGATATGTGTCTGTCCTTTACTTGGAATGACACGATCGTCACCCAAGCGGATGGGACACGACGGTCCTACAACGAGGACGTTGCGTGTCGTAACCCAAGTTTCATCAACAAGGGAAACCGACGCGCCTGTATCGACGAGAATCCTTGCTTCGTCCCCATTCATGCGTCCAGATAACAGTAGATTCTGTTGAAATCTTGGACGGATGGGACAAGCGACAACAAGTTTAGGAGGTCGAAAGTACACCCTAAATTTGTTGTGAGCGCGTCCAAACCTTTGGGATGTGGTCCACCAAACATGGTGCCCCTTGTCCCATGTTGCCAGGATATGCCATTCGTGAAATCGGCGGAACAACTCTCCTTTCACGATTCGAGTCACCAATCCCACTGACGTGAGCGGGTGCTCTTGGACACAACGGTCCACAATATCCATGATTGCTGGCAACTCGTTGAACGAGCAAGAGATGATTGAAAATTTATCTCTCAAGGATTCAATTGAGATGTTTTCAAGTGGGTATGATCGAGTTTTAAAAACAGATTTTTCATTAATAGAAGAGGCATACAAACAAGCGATTTTGCATGATGCAAGCTTCTCTAGCTTTAGCAAATCCTCATCACGAAGGACATAAGCCTCATCTATTCGATCTCGCTCACCAACTAGGTACCCACCCCCTAGTTGGACTTCGGAAAATCCTTCGGGCCCGAAGGGCCAGAACCATCCGGCTTCTTGCCCTGGTTGGGCTTGCCGGAGTTCTTGACGGACTTTCTCCAACGGCAGTGATAGGACTTGTGCCCGAGCTTGCCACAGATGCGGCAGCCTGCCGGGGGCTTATCCTCATCCTGAGGATCCTTGGCAGGCCCAGCATGGGCCCTCTTGGACTGAGTCCCAGAGGATTCCCCCTTCTGCTGATAGGGCCTCTTCCAAGAGCCACTGCCCCTGTGTGCCTGAGTCCTGTTACCACCCCCCCTAGGGCCT